CCCCAAAACCCCAAAACCCCAAAACCCCAAAACCCCATTCAGGAGCCTGAGTATTGAATTTAAGAAAAATTATATTTTCTTAATAATCACCACCGATGAATATTCCGATATCTGCAACATTGAAGTATTCTACATGATCTCTTAAGCTGTCATTCATACCCTTATCAGAGCACTTAGGGTCCTCACCAAGGTCAATATCACAGGTAGAATAATTAGTCCAGTCTTCATTATACCAAATTTCCTCAGGAGGGTGATACGGATAAAATCTGGGCAACAATCCTTCTTTTTTACAGTTGAAATCAGAATCTACAATACATGGAGGAACATGAGCCACAATATCATTTTCATGAACAACTCTGTAGAATCCTTGCACCTTTGGTAAAAATGCATCGAATAATTTGTAATTTGCAACTCTTGGTTGCCCAAAGGTATATCCATATACATTTCTGTCCTTACCAAGACCAAGAAGTGAATAGTCAGCCAATGCAAGTGTTGCCATACCTGCACCCAAAGAATGCCCAGTGAAGATAATATCAAAGTTAGGGTACTCCTTCTGAACTTCCTTAATATGATCTATTAGATTCACACGGAAGTTCTTGGTATACTTATCATTAAAATATTTCATAACTTGGGCTCCCTTCGCTTCAGAATGAAGAGTATAATCAACAGCATCAGGAGTGACTATATCTGCAACTAGCTGTGCCATATGCTTAGTCCCAGATAATCCAACATAAATCGTCTTCGCTTTCTCTTTCTTCACAATCACAGTAGTAAGACCATTAATACCCTCCTCATTCTTCCAAGCATGTAGAACTTCCATTCCAAAATCACTAACTACAAATTTAGAAGCTGGGCCGCAATCATTAGCTAAGACTTTATCAGCTTTGCAGTTTGCTAAAAGAGCAATATAAAACACTTCTTTTGCAAAATCCTCGTTGTACTGAGCCTGAACTAGCATCACCAAAGTGAGAATCAAACAAGCGGTTAGGATTCTTTTCATTACAAATTTAAATATTATTTACAATCCTTGACTCCTAGTAAGGGGTTTTGGGGTTTTGGGGTTTTGGGGTTTTGGGG